GTCCACTGTATTGTGGCATAATTTCCAGTCTCCCTCAATAACTGGTTCTTAATTATTACGTCTAGTTTTGATATAGAAACAGAGTGATACTCACTGTTATGAGTATTAGGTTGGAGAATTGGATGGGCTATTGCTCCAGCTTTTGCTGCGTCTGCAATCCGAAACATTCATGTCAAACTTACAGATTCTGCTCCAGCACCTTTCCAAGAAGCTGCGTTAACTGCTTTGACAAGCCCCCCTGAATATTTTGAACGACTGAAAAAAGTAGGTTCCTTGGACAGAGCCATGTTTTAGTCTTTTACTTGTCACTTTGGAGTGGATGACCATAGCTTACTTACTGTTATAACACAAACCAAAATGCAAGATCATGCTAATGCTCTCACTGCCACCTTTTTGCATATTTATTTTCTATTGATGAGCAGGAATATGAATTTAAAAGGGATTTCATTGTGAAGGTGCTCACCTTGGTTGGTTTTCAAATTCATTTTAAGCCCCAAGGTTCCATATTTTTATTTGCAGAGCTTCCTAGGAATTGCTTGCTTTCTGATGTAGGTAGATGTACTTTTTTGTTTTTCATTTTAAACTTTGGAGCTCCATTCATTCTAAGAATTGATCATATATTAATTTGACTTTTATAATGCCAGAATTCTGCTAATAGTTTGTTTATGCGGTATAAATGGTGATTCTGTTCTTTCCAGGTAGAATATGTTAAGGAATTAATAAAAGAGGCAGGGGTGGTTGCTGTACCAGGATGTGGATTTTTTCATACAAAGCTTTCTATGGAGCCATCATCTGAGGCAAGTTGCAACTACCAGAAGAGATATGTAAGGTTTGCTTTCTGCAAAAGTATTGCTACTTTGGCAGCCGCTGCACAAAAGTTTAGTGATCTTAAGAACGCTACCAGGTATGAACAACCTTAACATGCGAGGTGGGTTAAGGGATGAGAGAGAGAGTTATCTTTTATTGTACAATTTAGATAAAAAAAAAAAAAGAAGAAAATGATATACTTAAAATGTCACACAATATTGTAAATTTATACCGTATGTGTTCTTATATAATCATTTTTTTTTTATTCATGAGTCTACACATAATATTTTATGAATATACTCATTAAATGTTACGTAATATTTATTTAATGTTATATAGGATTGTAATGTGATGTAGGTTTGTAAGTTTACAATCTTACATGATATTATAAATATATTATTGCCGTTATATGATTGACTTTTTTCACTGAGTTAGACATAGAATTATATGCATCAAGTTCTTTAATATCAAATCAGAATTATATGCATCAAGTTCTTTAATATCAAATCATTATGTTTTATTTCGTATCTTGATATATCAAAGATAAAACTCATGGCTAATATAAGTAATTCAATTTCCAATGATATCATCTACTTTGATTTGTTGGAGAAAATAAGATCACCTTATTGAAATTAATTTGGATTTGTTCCTTAAAGTAGGATTTAATTAATCAATAAAATTCAGTGCGAGGGATAACCAGACTAAAATCAATTTGGATTTGTTTCTCTTTTTTTTTTTTTTTTCTCTCTAATTTTTCCTATCCTCCACATTTACCTTTCTTAAAAAAATCAGAAAAATGATTTCACATTTCCCTTCGTTTTTTTAAAAAAATCAGATAATATATTAAGGGGGAGCCTTAGATATTGGTACTGTTTAAAAAAATCATTAGATTGAATGATGCCTTTGCTTGTATTAAGGGTGAGCATTAGATATTGGTACTGTTTCTTGTGAGTGTATTACTTGTCTGGATAAGTATCATACCCGAACTATAAAAAAATTAAGTAATGGGTATGAAAACTATATATTCATAAGTATCAAGTCAAGTAACAAATATAAAAGTTTAGAATTATTTACCAAACTTGTTTAACTGATTTGTTATTGTAATTATATAATTGAAATTTTACTTATATTTATATACTTTATATGTATATGGTAACAATAATTTTTTAAAAGAAAAATAATAAAGCATAGAAATAATCCATAATATTAAAAAATACATATAATAACAACTCGTACAAATAAAAAATTATAAGCCAAACACATGACACGCAATAATAGTAATTCGTAAAAGGTCTCTTATTTCCTTAAGTCAAGTACATAAATATATGTGTGTAAGTCACCTGGTAACTATTGGGTTAGGAACCAAGTAAAGGTATTC